ACTCCATAGTTAAATGGGTTAGCTAAAATGATGAACAAAACACTAGTTGAGAGGGTGAAGCTTTGAAATAGTTGTACATGTTCTTAATCTCACACCTTGTGTCCCTCTTCAGTCTGATGTACCAAAGAGAGTTTGGAGTGGCAAAGATGTTTCTTATGATCACTTAATGTTTTTGGATGTAAGACATTTGTGCATATTCCCAAAGATGAAGGGTCTAAGCTTGATATCAAGACTCGATAGTGCATCTTTATAGGTTATGGTCTTGATGAATTTGGCTATAGGCTATATGATCCAGTTGATTAGAAACTAATAAACAGTCCTGATTGTTTTGTTTATGGAAGATCAAACTATACAAGATGTTTAAAAAGTAGAGAAAGTAGTGTCTTATATAGTGATTGTTTGATTGACTTAGACCTAGTGCCTTTCACAAATTTGCCAACAAATATTGAACATGATGTTCAAGATGACCATCAAGATTTAAGTGATGCAGATGCTTCTATGCAGGTTCAGACAGATTATCAGACTATTGATCAGCTTCTATGACCAGAAATTCCACTCAGGAGGTCTATTAGAAACCGACGTCCTTTCACACGGTATTCTAAAAATGAGTATGTATTATTGACTGCCAAGTGAGAGCCTCAGTATTGTACAGAAGCAATGGAAGACAAACACAAAGCAAATTGTGTTTATGCTATGGAAGATGAGATGCAGTCATTGCATGACAGTCACACCTTTGAGATGATAAAGTTGCCTAAGGGTAAGACAACTTTGAAAAACAAGTGAGTCTACAGGGTGAAGTAAGAAAAACATACTTCACAGCCACAGTGCAAAGCCAGATTAGTTGTCAAGGGATTCAATCAGAGAAAAGGCATTGACTTTGATGATATTTTCTCTCATGTTGTGAAATTATCTTCCATACGTGTGGTTTTAGGCTTGGCGGCTAGCCTGGACTTAGAAGTTGTGCAAATGGATGTGAAAACTGAATTTCTTCATGGTGATTTGGAGGAAAAAAATTACATGGAACAACCAGAGGGTTTCCAAGTTAAAGGAAAAGAAGACTATGTCTGTCGTTTAAAGAAAAGCCTTTACGGTTTGAAGCAAGCACCCCGACAATGGTATAATAAGTTCAAGTCAGTTATGAGGAAGCATGGTTAAAGAAGACTACTTCTGATCATTGTGTACTTGTGTAGAAATTCTCTGATAATGATTGTATTATTTTATTGCTCTATGTTGATGAGATGTTGATATTTGGCAAGAATTCTTCCAAGATTGATGATTTGAAGAAGCAGTTGAGTAAGTCATTGGCTATGAAGGATTTAAGGCCAGCAAAACAAATTCTTGGCATTCAAATTTGTTGACATAGAAAAGAGAAGAAATTGTATATGTCACATGAGCAATATATTGAAAAAGTGCTTGAAAGGTTGAACATGGGTAAGGCCAAAGCGGTGAGTTCTCCCCTAGCTACTCATTTTAAGCTAAGTGCAAAGCAAAGTTTTTCTACAGATAGTCAGAAGAAGGAAATGGAAAAGTCCCTTATGCTTCAACTATAGGAAGCTTGATGTGTGCAATGGTGTATATGAGACCATATATATCTTTTGTAGTTGGGGCTGTTAGCATATTTTTGTCAAATTTGGGGAAAAAGAATTGGGATGCAATGAAGTGGATTATGAGGTATCTACGAGGCACTTCCAAGTTAAAATTTTGTTTAGGAAGTGATAAACCAGTTTTGGTTGACTCCACAAATGTTGACATGGCCGGGGACATGGATACTCGTAAGTCTACTTCTGGCTATCTAATTACTTTTGCTGGTGGAGCAGTTTCTTGGCAGTCGAGATAGCAACAGTTTCTTACACTTTCTACGGCAGAAGCATAATTTATTGTTATAACAGAAGCTTGCAAGGAGTTGCTATGGATGAAAAAGTTCATGAGAGAGCTTGGTTTTAAACAACAATGGTATGTTTTGTTTTGTGACAACCAAACTGCTATTCATCTTGTGAAGAATTCTACATTTCATTTGAGATCTAAGCATTTTGATGTAAGGTATCATTGGATAAGGGATACTCTTCATGATAGCCTATTTGAACTTAAGAAGATCCTTACATATGACAATGGCTCAGATATGTTGACAAAGACTTTAGCAAGGGAGAAGCATGAAATTTGTCGAGCTATTGCCGATATGGTCCATTTCCCCACATAGTCAAGAAAGGAGGAGATTTTTTGGGCCTGGGTTTCCTCATGTGGAGGATGGCCCAAAATCCTAAAGCATAAAAATAGAAGAAATAATAATTAAAAAAAAAAAAAAGCAGCTTATATTAGTTGATTATGGACTGTGTGAATAGAAAAGTACTTACTGTTCACAGATTAAAAATCTATAGAAGTGAGAGAGAGGTAGGCACACCAAGTTATTCCGGCGACTATCCATCGATGAATCTTGCTTCGTTTTTGCTCAAATTTCAGAGCGTTGTTGTTGACGATAAGATCTTCACATCCAACGGTCAATTTCATGATAGCCATCTTTTTCTAGAGTTTTGCCTCTTGAAAGATAGCCAAATCAAAAAGTTGAGTTGCAGAATTTTCAGTCCATCTATTCTTCTTCAGCCTGACAATTAGAAGGTCATCTCTAGTCTGATCAACTTGATTTTTGGTCAGAACACAGAGGACGTTTGGTTCTTCAATCTAGACAATTGGTTTTGTATTTTAACAGCTGAGTTTGGATTTATACAGCCTGCATTTCGAGTGTTTTGCTGGTGATTTTACTCTATCTTTTCGTAACTCTTTTGTGTATTTCACTTTATTAGACTTATGATAAAGCTTTAAATTAGTGTGCAATATTATTGGCGAATTGTGGCTGTTGTAAATACTTTTTATTATAATGGATTTAAGTAGCTCATACGATCCCATGGTTTTTTATTATCTTCACAATGAAGAGGTTTTTTCACATAAAATTGCTTATGTATCTTGTGAATTTGATTGTTGTTTTCAGGCATATTTGCTTAAGGTTTTGCTCCTCACAGATACATTCAAGTAGGAAATACTTTGTTAGTATATTATTTCCTTTCAAAATGGCTGGAAGAAAATCTAGATTTCTTCACCCAATTTAAACTACTCACTATCAAGTTGTCTACCATTATCGCACACTATGGTGTGGGGTATGCCAAAGCGACACACCACTGCCCTTTAAATAAAGCTGGTTGTCTTACTTTCTGTTATTATATTTAGAGCTACAGCCTCAACCCACTTTGTTTAATAATCAATTGCAAGATCGCGTATTTGGCCTGCCCTTTCCCCATAGGCATGAGACCAATCAGGTTTATACCCTACTTGGCGAAGAGCCAAGGTGAAGTCATTGGTATGAGTTGAGTGGCTAGCAATCTCGAAGTTTTAGCGGTTCTTTGATACCCCTCGCACTTGCGTGTGTACTCCTTTACATCTTCATGTATTGAAGGCCAATAATACCCTTGCTTGAATACTTTGTGCGCCAGTGACTTGGCTCCCGCATGATTTCCATAAACACCTCGTATATTTCCTTCATAATATACCCAAGATATTTTTATGAACTCCAACATCCAATGACCGTTCCTATTCTAATGTTGGCGTGTGACGTTGAGTCCAATGCCTATACATAGACCTTGCTCTAGTCCAATGCTTCAACCCCTCCTGGACTCTCGGTTCTCCTAATTTAGTAGTGATTTTACCCTTATGTAGTTATATTACCCACCAACACATCATTAATTGGAGTTTATCTACTCAACTAAAATAATTAATAACGAATTGCCCGAGCTTTGGATAAAAAAGCAAAAATCTACAAGGAAACCTCATTTATTTGTTTGATTATTATAAAAGAATTCTACATGCTTTATTTGAAGGAAATAAGTACACAATAAAAAGTATGCGTATATGTAAAAGCTATATTTGGTTGAGAAAAACTGGGCCAAGAAAGTAGGCTCAAGCTTAAACGACGTCTGTCTGTTGGGATTAGCCAAGATGAAAGTTGATCTTGGAGGAAGCCCATAAAGCCCCAATAAAGGAAGGTAGCCCAAAGGAAAATAACTTAGCATATATGTTTTGTGATGGCAAGGGTGAATAAGCTTGTAAAGAAAAGCACAGAAAACATAAGAGTGACACTGTAATATGTAACTTTTCAAAAACTTTTCTCTTAAGGGTGCCTATAAAAGTAAGAGATCATAAGTAATTTACATAAGAGAAATACTACGAATAACTATTTCTTCCAAATTTTCTTTCACAACCCTGATGTGATAACTCGCAATTGATTAGTTTGCAATTAATTAATGGAACCCATGTGTAACCCATGTGAAACCCATTGTGAATTGACCAAATTACGAACTGTCACATCAAGGTTGTGAGAGAAAATTTGTAAAAAAAGGTTATTAGTATAGTATTATTCTTTACACATTCATTCACTATCTAGAATTTGTATGGTAATAGTCCGAAAGATCTTCTCTCAAATATTTCTTTACAACCAAACACTCATTTTCGCTACTTAGAATACTAGGAGATCTTAATCAAATTGAATTATCCTCTTTTAATTTCACCTCAATTACATAAATGTGAGACCAGGAATTATTCCCTTTTTTTCCCATTTAATCTTCATCAACCATATGCACGCTAATATAGTTCATGAAGAGGAAAAGAGGGCTAATCCCACTGCCGAATGGGAGAGCGTTGGGCGCGGCGCAGGATGAGACTGCAACAATAGAGCAAAGAGAGGGTCGGGCTTCAATCAATAAACTGTAGAGCTAGAAAAATAAAATATCATCTCTATAATTTTTTTTTTCTTCTAAAAGAAGGGAGGGATCGTAATCACATTATAGGGCAGAGAAGCACTACCCTCAAGTAGTACGAGTTAAATTATATTAATTATAGAAAGATCAGACCCACTGTATTAAATATTACGAGCCAAGTATGTCAAAATATGTTAAATAGGCTACTAATCGGCAAGTAATCTTGCACGGTCTTTTTGCCGATCGTGGCTCGATTCCATATATTACAAGGGTGGTTTTGTAGCAACATAATTCGAAGATACAAATCATTTCTAAAAACCCTACGCAATCCCCTTCTTTGAAATTCGATACTGATAAGCAATTTGTCTTCTCCATTCATGAATAGGAACCTATTGAGCAATCCATACAAAGGGTTTACCAATTACTATCATGATAGCTGCCACAAAAATCAGTTGATACACTAAATCTTTAAATTTAACAACATATCAAACCCAGATCAATTCAAAAGCATAAAAATAAATCCTTACAGCAGGGAAGCCACCATAATCACCAGGCTGTGTGATGTCCTTGGTGACACAGCTATTAGCAGCAAGCCGAACCTGCAATCCCATATCATTGGACATTATTTTCAATGTGAATATTTTAGCTCTTCAATCAATTATAGCAGATGGAAAATTAGTACAAGACCTATATTTGTACAATTAAAACTACATGACAATTGTGTACTGCAATCAGAAAATTAAATTGAAACAAACATTTATGTTGACTCCAAGAAGAAAAAGTTCTATATATTCACTTTGAACGAGAAGTGAGCAAAAATTTCGGGTGGACTTGGAATTGCAGGGTACCCGGTGTTTCGGTTCCAGTTCCCACCCAGAACCGACACTGTGTAGGTACGTTCTAGTTCCCAAATTTAAGGAACCGGTATTGTATGGTTCCGATTTCGGTTCCACCACTTCAAGGAACCAAAACCAACCTAAGAACCGGAATCAAAACCGAAAACAGGGTACTCGATTTGGAACCAGTTTAAGAATCCACTTGGGGATAGGTGCAGGCTTGTGCAAGAGTAGACGTGTGTTGCGGCAGTTGCACGTGGAGCTGGGTGTAGTTGGCTGAGAACTTTTGTCGGGCAGGTGGTGTGCAATGGGCAAACAACACTTCAATTCCAACAGGTGGGAGCAGTGTAAACCCAGATAACACCAACTCAAATTGAACCAATCAAACTCCAAATCAATCCAGACAACAACTCCCTCAATCAAACAACAATCAAACCAAACCAAATGCTTCCAACTGTCAACAGTCATGGGCAGGTGATGGTGAACGTGCAAGGCTGGCGCATGCAAGGATCACACATGCACCGTGAAGTGTGCGGCGACAGCAGGAGGAGGTGAGTGTAGGAGGAAAGGGACGGTGGCAAGAGGCTGATGAGTTGAATTGCAGGCTTGGAGTTGAGCAAGGGTCAATCGAGTGACTTCAACTGTCGCGCGATTGTCAGGCTAGGGTGGCGACGGTGATTGTGAATGAAGCTGGAAGGGAGGTTGTGGAGTGAGATCGAAGATGCGATGATGGGAGATGGTGGCGGTGGCGGGCCGTGGTGGGCAGTCGCGCGAGCCTAGAGAGAGCTGCACAAACGGTGCAAATTGGCAATGACAGGTGGCGGCACAACTCAAGCAGAGCTGGGGTTTGCTGGGATAGTGACCAAGAACCAGGATCCGACAATTGGTCACCAGAAATGGCCAGCAGCGGCATCGGCAGTGACAAGGAGTTGAGAGAAAAATATTTGTAATTTTAATTTTGTGAACAGTACAGGGTACTCGGAACCGAAACTTACCTGACAGGTTCTAGTTTCAATTCCTAAGATTTAGGAACCGCATAGTACCAGTTTCGGTTCCTAAATCTCAGGAACGGTACTGTGCGATTCCGGCTCTGGTTCATGAGATTTGAGTCAGGTACACAGACCCGCTCACCCTTACTTTTAACAACTGCTAATAGAATATTATTAGCCTAAACTGTGAAGCACAGCAAGAAACATACTCCAATGCATGATTAGCTTGACAAACAGAGTTTGTAGTCCATAACCTCACTATCCTTTCACTTCATCAAGTACATACCTTTGTTGCAATAGAGACGTGATCACGAACAGCTACTCTTCCCCCCAAAGTTACAAAGTCTCCAATCCTGAAGCAGGACAAATGATACAGTCATAGCTATCAAGAACTTTTGTAGCCCATGAAGTTCTCAAATGAACATTGTATAGAGAAAAAGAAGAAGGCAAAAAGAGAATAATATACGTTACTGAACCTGCAATCCCAGTTTGTCCACAAAGCATGCAACTCTTCCCAATAATTACATTATGACCAATCTGCAAAGCCGAGATTTGGTTTTTGTATAATGCCATATAAGTTTTTATCTCTATTTATGGTTCCTCTTGAAACCGCAGAAAGTTGTTAATTGACAAATGACAAGGCAAAAGAGTAGAACTTGCCTGAACTAAATTATCTATCTTTGAATAATCCCCTATCACTGTATCTCTCCAACTGCAAAACCAAATAGGCAGTAACTTAGTATTAATTTGAGTTTAAGAATATATACATATGCACATTATAAAATCCTTGATATTTAAAGCCAACACATGTCTCACCTGCCCCTGTCAATGCACGTATTTGCACCAATCTCCACATGGTTTCCTATCCTAGCATTCAGCATCTGACAAAGTGACATACATATACTATAATTCTTCAATTGCTGATACAAAACTGAACAAGATACCAGAGATACCTACTTAGCTTTTCATCGAAAGGGTAAGATATATGAGGAGATGCATGTATAGCAATAATACCAAGTTATAATATTTTTACAAACAAAATTCTGTTTTTTTTTTAGTAAAACGGGTGTACGTATGCATGCCAACCAATTACGCAGGTCAAGTCAGTGAGTTCGGCTTGGTGCCGTGATTGCCCACTGAAGACTCTCTTCCATAAAATATGTTTACTTTCAAGTTCTAAATTTTTGTTGGACAGTCTCAAGAATATCTCAAAAGGATAAACTACAAGGACTCCAAAAAAAAAAAAAAAATAATAATAATAACAATAATAAAACCAACTATATATCACCAACTTGAGGCTTCTTCAACATGTTGCCATTCTCGTCAACAAAAAATCCAAACCCTGTAAAGTAAACAAGGGTATAACAGCCTATCTTAGAAACATTTACGCTTGCAACTAATTTAACCTTTAAGCACAAAAAATATAATAAATCAAACGACCAAATTTTGAAATAATCAAGGCTTACCATCTTGACCAATGCACACCCCATTGTGAATTAAACATGAATCACCTATAATGCAATTACTGAGAGCAACATTATATCTGTTGAAATATAAATATAGTTGTAGTTACAATAGAATTAAAAAAAAAAAAAGTAAATATAAATTAAGTTAACAATTATACCCTATATTCGTGGATTGACCGATAGTAACTGCAGGACCAACAACAGCTCCTGATCCAATACGAACGTTGGCACCCAGCACAGCATCTGGATGAACCATTGCTCCAATTTCAATCAGCGCCGTTGAATCGATGGAAGCTGAGTGGTGGAAGGTCCCACCTCCGTTGTGCCATTTTTTAAAATCTAGATGACTTTCTACCCCTAAAAGATGCAAAGGCATGTGCCAAAAATCTTTTAGACATTTTCACAAACACTTGGCAGCAAAAGATGAATGCTCCATAGCATGTTGATCATGACTTACTGACTTACCAGATTTAGCCGAAAAATTACAAATACTACATAGTCTTGCTTACGTTTATTCTGGAGTAGAAAACGGCAAATCTTCTAAGGTAAACAACCATGACTACTTAATTAACAAAGCTATTTTAAGGAAATGTCGAAGAGACTCAACAGTAAAACGATGGAGGTAATAAAAAGTAGCACAACTGTTGTTACAGGTTGAATATTAGCGAAATTTTCTCCTATCGTTCGCTCGTATACCAATGTGTCTTTGTACCATACTCGCATTAAAATTACAAAAATACTAGGGACCGGTTCGTTATATTTTTAACTCATCATTTTGTTTTTTAGACATGGAAACATGAAAAAAGTGTTTGTTTGAGATAGAATTTAAATAGTTTTTTTTTTTTTTTTGAAAATAAAACAATTGTCACATTAATTCTAAAATTTAATGAAAATTAGAACATTAAAATAAATTTTTATATCAAACACATTTTTAAATATTAAAATACAACTCAAAAATTTGAATGTATTTTAATTTTGATAATTTATTCTTTCATTATTTCATACTTTATCATTTCTCCTAAAACAACAAATTCATTTTAAATTAATATTTTTAATTCAGAATTATAAATGGAAATGAACTATTGACATATTTTAGACAAATTATCAAGATTAATAGAATAAATATCATTTTGAAAATGTTTATCAGTTGTGTAGGTGAAAAAATTCGTTTTTTTTTTTTTTTTTTTTCGAACAACGTATTCAAACACATTTTGTTTTATATTTATATATTCATTTTCAAATTCAAACAAAAAACCATAAACAAAAAACACAAACAAAAAAATAAAAAAACACACCCTAAAAGTTTTGTATTTATGGCCAAAATCACTCACCTCAACTTTATTAGAAATACACTCAATAATTGTTGCCTTGTGTTACAACCGGGTTTTGGGATGCACTTGGGATCGAGTGAAGAGGCGAGTTGGTCGTTGAGTGGGTTTGGGTTTCTTCTTGGTTGACCAATGACGAGTGAGATGACATTGGTAGGATTGTTAAAGGGATCCAATCCTGCTATACACAACTGTTGGAGATATTTATAGCCTTGCATTCATTCGTTCTCCTTTCTATAGACTCTAATAGGGGTGAGACGGGTAGCGGATAGAACCGAAACGGGGGTAAAATCGGAACCGGAACTGGAATCTACCAGAACCTGCACTGTGCTGGTACGTTCGGCTCTAATTTTTTGGAACCGCTACTATGCGGTTTCGTTTCGGTTCTGCATGTGGAGGAACCGGAACCTGTAAAAAGGGTACCCTGTTCGGAACCTGTAGGGGGTACCCGGTTTGGAACCTGTTTTGGAACCTATTAGAACCTGTTTTGGAACTGCTTGGAACTGTTTGGAACCTGCTTGGAACCTGTTTTGAAACCTGTTTGGACCTGTTTTGGAACCTGTTTTTAGAACTTGTTTAGAACCTATTTAAGAACCTGGACTATAATGAAATATTTGTGAAATGAAATAATGGAGGAATTTCTATTATTTACAAAAAAAAAAATTAAAATAGAAAAGGTTAAATTTTTAGAATAACCTAATTAAATAATATACGAATACAACTATACTTATTACATATAAATTACACCATATTAAAGCTTTAAATATTATAATACATTAATATTAAAGTTTTGATCAATTAAGTGAATAATTGGAATTATGATCCAATTAAAAGGTGTTTACTTTTTAATGTTATTAAAAGAATTATTTTTGAATAAAATAGTATATTTGATTGAGTAATAATATATTTAGTTATTTACTTCAATTATCAAGTTCTAAGTATATCTAAATAAAATAGTAATTAATTAATTATATATGATAAATTGATAAAATTAACAAATATTACTAGTTAAATATCATACTTAATCAATTATGACATTACATATAGTTAAATGATTACTTAATTAATTATAATTTATAACATTACTTAATTGATTTATAGATAAATTAATTATAGCATTACATTAATTGATTACTACTAATAATTGACTTATAGTTATAACATATAAATAGTTAATTAATTGACTTATAATTAGAAATTTAATTAATTATAGCATTACGTTATAGATTTAATTATAATTACTTAATCAATTTATACATTATTATAACATTAGTACAAACTTAATTAAATGATTAAAAATTTAATTAATTATATATTACATAAAAATTTATAGTATGATTATTTAATAGTTAATTCACTATAACATTACATTTAGTATGATTATATAATTATATATAACATTATAATTAAATAATTACTTAATTGATTATGTCATTTATTATAAATATTAATAATTACTAATTACTACAAAACATTAGCATAATACTTAATTAAATCATAAGAAATTTAATTAATCATAACATTACCTTGTAAACATTTATTATAAACATTAATTAAGTATTACATTATAAATAATTACTCAATTAATTATAATATATTATATTACATTATATATTATGATCACTTACTTAATTTAGCATTATATAGTTAAAGAGTTACATAATTACATAATTAGTTATGAATTTATAACATTACATTATAAATATTAGTAATTTACTAATTTACTATATTATTACATTACTTAATTAAACGATTAAAATTTAATTAATTATAACATATATTATATATTTATAATATGATACTAATCAATATAACATTCCATTATAAACATTAGTAATAATCAAATGATTTGAAATTAATAATTATAATATTAAATTATAGATTTTAGTATGATTACTTAATTTATTATAACATTACATTATACTATTATAGTATGATCATATAATTATATAACATTACATAATTAAATGATTATTTAATTGATTATGAGTTATGATATTATGTTTTAAACATTAGTAATTACTATCTACTACATAAACATTAGCACAATACTTAATTAAATGATAAGAAAATTAATATTATAACATTACCTTATAAACATTTCATTATAAACATTAATTAAACATTACATTATAGTTAAATAATTACTCAATTAAATTATAATATTATTATATACATATTATATTATGATCACTTACTTAAATAGCATTACATAGTTAAATGATTACATAATTACTTAATTAGTTGAATTTATGAATTTATAACATTACATTATAAACATTAGTAATTTACTATATTATACATACTTAATTAATGATTAAAAATTTAATTAATTATAACATTACCTTATATATTTATAATATAATTAATTAATTAATTATAACATCCATTATAAACATTAGTATATTAATCAAATGATTTGAAATTTAATTAATTATAATATTAAATTATAGATTTATAGTTGATTACTTAATCATTATACATTACATTATATATTATAATAGATAAATAATTAATATAACATTACATAATTAAATGATTACTTAATTGATTTGAGTTATGATATTATGTTTTAAACTTAGTAATATAATTTACTACATAAACATAGCACAATATTTAATTAAATGATAAGAAATTAATTAATTATAATATTACCTTATAACATAATTAAGATTACATTATAGTAAATAATTACTCAATTAATTATAATTATTATATTACATTATATATATGATCCTTACTTAATTTAGCTTACATAGTTAAATGATTACATAATTACTAATTAGTTATGAATTTGTAACATTACATTATAAACATTAGTAATTTACTAATACTATATTATTACATACTTAATTAAACGATTAAAAATTTAATTATTATAACATTACTTATATATTTTAATATGATTACTTAATCAATATAACATTATTATAAACATTGTATATTAATCAAATGATTTGAAATTTAATTAATTATAATATTAAATTAGATTTATAGTATGATTACTATATCATTATAATATTACATTTATCATTATAGTTAGATCATATAATTAATATAACATTACATAATTAAATGATTCTTAATGATTTGAGTTATGATATTATGTTTTAAATATTAGTATTACTAATTTACTTCATAACATTAGCACAAACTAATTAAATGATAAGAAATTTAATTAATTATAACATTACCTTTAAACATTTCATTATAAACATTAATTAAGCATACATAAGTAAATAATTACTCAATTAAATTATATATTATTATATACATTATATATGATCACTTACTTAATTATAGCATTATAAGTTAATGATTACATAATTACTTAATTAGTTATGAATTTTAAACATACATTATAACATTAGTAATTATATACTATTACATACTTAATACATATAAAAATTAAAATTTAATTAATTATAACATTACTTTATATATTTGTATATGATTACTTAATCAATTATAATATTCCATTATAAACATTAGTATATTAATTAAATGATTTGAAATTTAATTAATTATAATATTAAATTATAGATTTATAGTACGATTACTTAATCATTATAACATTACATATACTAATAGTATAATCATTTTAATTAATTATATACATAATTAAATGATACTTAATTGATTATGGCATTAATTATAAACATTAGTAATTTACTAATTTACACAATACTTAATCAAATTATTATAACATTATATTATAAATTTATGGTATGATTATTTAATTAATTATAACATTCTATTATAAACAATATTACAATACTTAATTAAATGATTAACAATTCAAGTGTTGCTTAGAGATTACAGGTTATGAGTTACATTGGACACAAATGAATGAATAATGAAAATTTGTTAGGGGTGTATTTGTAAACTTATAAGGTGTTTTTTGTTATTTTTTAAACTAATATGCGGTAATTGATTTTTTACAGGGTACCCTGGAAAGGAACCGGAACCTGCATTTTAGGTTCCGGTTCCTTAAATTGAAGAACCTACACTGTGCGGTTCCGGTTCCGGTTCCGATTCCTTTTTTTGGGAACCTGCACTGTGCGGTTCCGGTTCCGGTTC